AGAGGAATTACTGAGAGGTGAACAATGAGTAAGCAGGATAGTGGGGCAGGAAGAAAAAAAATAAAGAGAGGAAAGAAAAAAAATGTGTATATATATATATATATATATATATACTTGTTTATATATGTGTCTATGCAATTGCAACAAGGAAGCAGATAAGACTTTGTGTCTACCTAAATTTTACGTCAGTACAAGAAAAGTTTGTTCTAATAACGAGGCATTGTATGATATTCACCTTCCTGACATGATCACTGAAGACATAAGCAAATGTGGTAAAGAAAGCTGATGGTGCCTGGCTATTAAAAGATATAATGGCTGGGTTCTTAAAGGCTTGTAGTTAAACAAGTAGCCATCTAGCAAGGAAGCAACAAAACCCACATAGAAGCACACTAGCCTGTGAGATCATGAGGTGTCAATGGGATCAGGTAACAGGCATCACAAGACCCAAAGCAAACTGTGGTAGTTAAAGAATCTGTTGTCAGTTTGAGACTTATGAGTGAAGGGGTGACGTTTACCTGTCATTAAGGTCACAGCTTGATGAACTCATTTGGAGGTGCTAAGGAGATAAATAGCTCGCAGTCCCTGTGAGAAATTTTTGTTGACAAGCCAAATGGAGACAGGCTGATGGCAGCCAGAGTCTTGCCATGTGGAGATCCCTGCCAGTGCTGAGATGCTTACAACGCTATTGGATCCACAAGACCCACCTATTCCTCTGAAAATTATGTTCTTGAGTCTTTGTATTGTATTACATTACATTCTGTTCTGTTCTGTTGGCCATAACAGTGTAAGAGAGACTGGAAAATTAAGTCTTCATCATACATGGTCAGGTGCCCAGTGAAGAACCTGGACAAAGCAGGAGTACAAATATTGAGAATAGCAGTCCTGACACATAGGCATGAAAAAAATCTGAGAGAACTGCTGATAAACTTTGAGAGACATAACCCAGGAAGTGTTGAGTCTCTTAATAGATATGAGTTGTCATTGTTAACATTTTAAAGTATAAAGTACTTTGGAAATGCTCAATTTTACTTAAAATTTGGTATAGAAAGAGTGTGTTGCCTTGGCCATATTAAGAACACTGATTTTTTTCTAGACCATTCTAATTCTATGATTATTCTGTGAACCAGACAGGTAAACATGATGTTGAGTCAAAATAACTCTTGAATCATGAAAGTTTTAAGAATTAGGCATGTGTGAAATTCCTAGACTTTCTTGCTGCCTTTATTTTGATGTAGTTGCCTAGAGTTTTGATGTAAAGTAGATGTACATATGAATTCTTATTTATAGCACCAATTCTGTAACATGGTTTACCATTTTTCATAATGAGGGAAATTATATAATGATGGCTTATAAAAAATCGTAATAATGAAAATGCCATGATTATGTGTTCTAAAATATTTTTGAACAAAATTTTCACTAGAGGGAGACATTTAGCTGTCAGTAATTTAAAAGCAAATTTGATAAGATTTTAAATATAAAATTTATAGAATATTATTATAATAAAATCATTAGTAGAATGTTAGATTAAAAGTTATCTTCTAGATGATCTAGGTTACCTCTGTTATTTTATAGGGAAATATATACTCAGAAAGTTTGGATGATTGCATAGGCTTGCACAGCTTTTACTGTTTTTCACCAAACCAAATTATACCACACTCAATGCCATCGCGTTGATGGGAACTCGTAGGGCCTCTATAGGACAAGGTAGAACTGGCCCTGTGGGATTCTGAGACAATAACTCTTTTTTTTTTTTTTTACATTTTTATTGGCACTTAATCCACA